GGTACTAAGTGTTTGTTAAGAAAAATAAAATTTTCCCGACAATCCCCAACTTCTGGAGACGTAAAAAATAGCTGTAAATTAGAACAATAAATCTACATATTGAGATAAGTATAAAACCTAAAGCAACCACTTTCTTTATATAAAAAGAACTTTTCTCTAGTCAAAATATTTTGCACACATTACCATTAGTAGATAAGCACTAATTGAATATCGTGGAATAAAGTCTGTCCTCATTTCGCCCGTTTTCGGTGTCTTCATTGATAAAATGATACATTGCGTTTCTGTTCGACGTTTACATCAAAACCTTAAAAATAAGATATAACTAAACAGAATTTATCGAAAAAACGAGCTTTTGGATATAAGTTCTTCTGAAGATGGCCAGGTAGGTAAAATGTGGGAATCCTTCGAAACAGCAAACCACATTGTCGAGCATACAAAATGTCTGCTAGATACCACGCATATTGTTATTCCTAAGATCTCTCCATAATAGGTCACCTCTTTTAAAAATGGTTTTATTGCATATATGCATATGTGCATATAAAATTTTTCCAAGGTAACGTCACAGGGAAATTGGAGACTTGACAATTTCTTCAGTTTACCTGAATAAAAACGATTAAATTTGACTGGAAATGAAAGAACATGCTTTTCTCTTTATGACGGATTATTTTCGCTTAAGGAGGTTAATTCCACGATCTGTAATAAGCGTGCGAATTTAGAAAGAACAGGCCACATATATGACCATTTTTTGAAATACTTATTATTCTTCTGCCTGTTCCGTTTCTAAATAACGCTTGATCAGAACGTATTGTTTACAAATAAAACCATATTGCTACATGACTTACATTCAATAAGGCCTTCTATGGGTTATCTTCGCGGTAACATATAGAAACTTTGCTTAAGCGCAAGGCCAGCTGTGCGGTAAAAAAAACGTTCTACCAAAAACTTTTCGTTACTGCATTTTTTGCAAAAAAACTTCACAGAATAGCTTAATATAATTTATTAAACTTGTATTGCTGCTTGTTTCTGAAAATAAATGTGATTCCTTAAACTTCGCTTCACTTCCAGTTCTCAGTTCTGAAAGAGATTATTATTCCACCTTTTTTACTAATAACGGAATCCCTCCACAGCACAATGTATATAAAAAAAGTTTGGTTCTGTCTTTTCTTATAGCAAAGGGAATTCCTTTAACAGAAACGTGCTCATTATTTAGCCAAAATGAGTGCCTATTTCCCTCAATAACTTTAACTTAGAGGACGCTTTTCCAAACTAAAGGCTTTTAAATTATTAAATCCGCTCAGTTGAAAAAATAACCTGCCCAAATATATGCTTAACTACCCAGTTAAATTTCGTCATCAAAGTTGTTTGCTGGACTCGCAGGACTGTAATATAAAAGCAACATATATCAGTATACTTGCTTTATTCCTTTCTTATATAATTCAGTATTTTCAACACCTAAATATCTCCGCAAAGCAAACAAATATGTTTCGCTAAAGGGCAAACTTTAATAGAGCACATTTTACTAGAAACTGGATATAGAAAATATTCTTCTGTTCCACTTTATCAACATATAATGCCATCCGAATAGACAATGAAAATAACTGAAGAGTGTGCACTCTTATAAACGCAGTACTTTTGGCATGTGTGGCGGTTGAGCTTGATTTTATGCATGCAGCAATGCATGCCGATATTTTGGGGCCATGTATGCAATTCTATGCGATCATTGTGTGGCCTACTGCACCGAACAAATTTTGAAAACAAGAAAATGCAGATAAATTCAAAATATGGACAGAAATTTTGACGTCGTAGTCAGTTAAAATGGCCAGGTAACATTAAAAATAAACAATCTTGTTTTCGTCGGAATCATGAACTACTTAATTTTATCTATTCTGTAAATATAGAGAATATTAGCGTATGTTTATTCTCCGTTTGCAACTCAAGTATGAAATCAAAACCAAGAATAAATTCGTCGCTCTGTGTCAAAATTAGACCATCAAATAGGTATCATGGCCTGCTGTATGTAGCAAATACGCTAGGATTCGAAGACTTTCACACTCTGTAAAGTGGTCCTTCCTTCATCCAGGCTCATTTCCTGCAGCAATCTAACTTTGCTGGTAGAAGTGAACAAGCGAGGGCAGCTAAGGAGGAAATAGAGCGATCGATGTGCCGAGATTTTTCCCGAGCGGGGAATTCAGTAACGTGGGATGGGTGCGGCCGATTTATCAAGACAGGGAGCACAATTGCCCCATAAGTATCACGCCAACATCCAACACGGATGATGAAATCGTGGCCATTAACGACTCCGATGTGAACTTCCAAGCCGCCATCGCATGAATTAAGACCTACCACTGTGAGCCGATTTTAGTGCTCATTTGATGGCGTGGCTAATATACACTATAAATATCACGAACCTTGTGTTTCTATTACACCTAGTTGCAATCTTCTCTGATGTCGGATTCGTGCGAGAATCCGAAACGTCGAGTGAATAAACCTCTTGTTCCATGGTCGCATCGCCTATTTCGGAACTGCCAACTTTCTTTAGTGTAGGTCCTTTTACCCATGACCTCAGGAAGAGCACTTCTCCCCATGTCACTGCATCTTGTTGTCATTTGGGTTTTTCAATTATATTTAAGCAGTACAATGGTTAACCAGACTAACATGCAGTATTATCCACTATTTTCGTTCGATGAGATTACCACTCGGCGCGAGTTATATTAAAAGGTGTTGTGAAGATCGTATAATTTGTCAGGTTAAAAGTATTGATCAATAAGATACCAGCTCATGTCTTCAAAAAGTTTAAAACGCGTTTTTACGAAACGACATGCTGCTGACGCTAGAGGGAGGCCTACGTCTTGCCCTTTTATAATTCTTGCATTTTTTTCCGCACAATGTATTGTACTTATCTCTAATTAGCAGCCACAAAGAAGACCTACTGTTGGATAAAAGCCGAGCCAATCCCCTTGTACAAATCAAAAAGTTGCGTGCACGTTTAACGTTAAGGTTGAAAATAACTTAGCAATACCTGAGCCTGTTGTTTAAAACCGGCGCATTCCATTCTTATTTATTAGGAAGTAGAAGGCCTACAGATTACTCTGCCCCTCTAAAATGTAACAGGCTGAATAACTGACTCTCATTGATTGCATTGTATTGCATAGAAATGTTGTCGCTTTTCATTAATGTCATTGACTTTTGTGTGAACTGCGCTTCTTAATGACAATTTAACGTTTCTATGTCCATGCGTAAATCAAGTGATTTGAAATAACTGGCTGTATAATTTATTCAATACTTTACATTTATCCTTACAACCGAAATCCCGTAAAAAATTACGTCCCTGTTTCGAAAATTTCCCCGAGACATTCATTCAAATAAATACAACAACTCCAATGTCATGATTTAGAATATATGCAGGTCCATATAGCTTGAATGAAATCATGCTAACTCATCAGCTTAAAAGCATTTCGTTTACAAGATAAATAATGACTAGCATCTTTGATAAGACTAGACATAGTTTAAGTTACACAAACAGCTTAAAAATACTTATGTGATGTAAAGTATTCCAAATGCACTTTTGAAACCAAATCAGTAATGCTTTGACATGACAGTGAAAGTGAAGTATCTGTTAAAAGTGTTAACTACTATCAAGTGCAAAAGATCGAAACCTGCTAAAAGGACTTTGCCTTCTTGTATATGCTCTCCGAAACGGACAGCGGACAAGTAAATATCAGCTACCCGTTTGGTTGCTCCTGTTTTTTAAAAGCAGGACAACTTGACCTTGGTATCGCAAAGTATTATGCTCTACTAATTAGCGTCTTCGTTTTTGTAATTCACAATTAAGGGAAGAAATATGTATGAGAGCTCACTGCATGCATCCGCAATCTTCTAAAAAATGACAGATATTATACCAAATTATTCAAAGGAAAAATCCTATTTTCGTATTGTAGATGTTTACGTGGTAGGGAGAGCTTTACAAAACTTAGCTGGCCTGCTAAATATAATCGTGCATTCGGTTGTTGGGTTAGTCCCTGCAGTCCAATAGTCATACGCACTATTTTTATGCATGCACTAGAGAATCTGAAATTAGGCTTAACGCTAGCAAAATATGTGGTCTTATGTCCAAATTGATGAAATGTATCTCGACTCTTCTGGAAATATTGCACGATGTGGTCGATCAAATTACTGGTGTTGATTGCAGAAGCTAGTAGGATTTCGTTTGCTGGACAAAATTGAGTTTCCAACAAGTAATGCTTTAATTTAAGTGCTGTCCTAAAGCATGTCACAAATTAGAACCATTTTAATGTTTGTAAGGTTTGCAATCTAAAAGACATCTTATATGGTTCGTTTTGAATAACGCGGGGGCAATGTTTTTGTAGCCGCTCAGTAAAAGGGCCTATTGCTGAATAAAATTAAAAGACAGATGTGGTTTTAAGCACTAGAGCAGGTATGCATTAGGAGCTTAAATGAACCTATCTAATCGCAGTTCGCGGGGTATTTTTTCAATAGTTGTACCTAGAGTTAACTATTTGGCGACGATGGGACGAGATTTAGAATACAAATTTGGTAACCAGTTCAGCATGCAGATGGGCCAGACATATGCACTTCAAAGTCAATGCAATCCTCCTTTCAAACTTCTTACCCTAAATCTGTCTACGGCTATAGCCGTTATGCTCATTGTTGCAACAAACACATTTGTAGCCTGTGCGAACGCGGTAAATTTGCACATGAATTCTCCAAAGTTCCATTCGTAGTGCCAGTGCAGGGTGCGAATCAAGTTGAAGGGCTGTGTGAACAGACAAAGTGTGAGGTCACTGACTGCGAGATTGAGGGTGAACAGGTTTTGGGCTGTCCGCATACGACGCTTGCGAATCTCAACCGCAATGACACAGAAGGCTCCAAAAGCTCCAAATGCAATCATAAATGCATTCAGGGCAAATAAAAGAACCAATTCATGTGTTTTTAGTTTGTTCATCTCTTCCAGGTTGCTCAGTTCGTTCTGTAGAATGGCAAACATTTCGTGGTCCTTTGCGATCCGTAGGCACTTGCGAAGATATTCAACAAGATTTTCCACTTGAGAAACTGCTGAATTATTTTCGCCCTTTTCAAAACAGGGGACATTTTTCAGCATTCCGTTTCTTCAGCATACAAAATATCACATAGTATAGTCAGAAATTTGTTCCGAGGATGTTCGGGTACCTATAGTTTGCTGCTTACCAATCATGGACCTATGGTTACAGGCAATACGATCTAATTGGTGTTCTGAGGTGCTCCGATTGGACAGGGAAAATTAATTTTGATTGGAAGGTTGGAGAAGGCTAATGTTGAAAATAATTAAGGCTGGAAATAACCCAATTTTTTGAGTATATTTTCACAAAGTTTATTTGAAGCCGCAATGCACACTGAAAAACCAAGCAAAATGATGTTAAGTGCCTATCATAGCACGGCCCATAATATTGGCTTGCAATGATTAAAAAATGTATTGTCCATATAGGCATGTGGATAAGACTAACTGAGACAGTGAAACGAGAGTCAACGTTATGGCAGCAGCCAGCTATCATAATCTTTATCAGTATCAGCACTCAAGTATTATGACTAATCAGCATCTTCGCAGCAATTGATTTACGCGATTAATATAATTAACTTAACTGCCCTCTTATAAGCAGAGTTTGCTCTTTCTAGGCCTTTAAACTGCTCAGGAAGGTTTAACTAAATGGGTATTAACTAATTGAACAGGAGACTCACCATCTCAGATAAGTACCAAGGCATTTCGCATTAAATGTTTGACATGTTTCAGTGAAGGTTCTCGATCGGCCAGTAACGTCTCTCATCATCTTCTCTCAGATACGAACCAGATTCCTCTTTTCAGTAACAATTAATTTTCTGAAGACTAGTTTAGCGAGTACATGTATGCTTTGGACAAATTCTCGTCAGGCCTTACATTTATATGGAAACAGGGTGCAAGTTCAAACGTGTTCGTCTTTTCGGATAAGTAAGTCGTGGGAATGGGGTGGGGTCGATAAGCGAAGGCTGGTTGTGAGGATAGGGTTTGATGAAACAGTCTAGGGGAGGGGGAACGAGGGGAGAGGGAAGGGAGACAAACAGAGCGTGGCCAACTGCATGCTGTTAAGTGACTGTGGGCCAAGCCAGCTGTGGAGCCTGTAGGAAGCCCTTTTTGTGCACACAACGCGGGCTTCATCAGCTTGATAGCGGTCGCTTCTGCTGTTGCTAGTAGACGCTGACCCAGGGACTCCGTATAATTTGGTGGGATCTTGTAGATCACAAGGAAAGCTTCGCTGGGGTCCACCCGATATCCGGAATCGACCATGTGGCCAGAATAGAACTGTTTATGTTCCTGATTTCACCTTTTCTCAGCCATGCTTGGCGGTGTTCCCTTATACTTTTGGATAGGCGCCGGCTCGTGCGATCAATATAACCTGCCCCACCGGAGCAAGTGAAAGAGTAGATGAACATTGAGGTGGTTTGAGCTGGTAACCTACCCTTACCTTCTCCATGTAAGATTGGGATGGTTGAGAATAATACCCGAACTGTGGCTGCTGGGAAGGTTCTTGAAACGGCTTGGTCAAGGCGTTTTTTCAGCAGTTCACTTGCTGTGTCCCCTTGCCAAACTAGTCTTCTGAATTCTTTGATGAGAATTTTTGCAAACCTAAAACAGTTAATTTTCTTTAAAAATAATGGACAAATTTAGAGAAAAACCCGGTGGTAAAAGCGGCTGAAAAACTGTCAACATCTGCAGTTAAAAAACTAAACAACACCTCGACGCATCGTTTTCTTTATCTACCACTGGACAGCGCTAGCCCAGTGCCCCAGGCGCCGCTGTAGCCAAGGCTTGACCTTCGATGTATTCGTTTGCGGCGCATTCAAAAATGAAGTCTTCATACCACCCAAGCTACCAGGCTCACAGTTCATCCGCTGCGTTGAGGGCAATTTGCATTCGCACAGAAATGACGCTCCCCAACCTCAGGTGTCTGCAAGTCAAAACTGGCCTCTGGTTTAGGGACTTAACAGGTAGCTTTCTACCGACCATCAATGATAAGCAGTGGATAATTTGGCAGAAAACGCGCTAAATTTTCTAGTTGGATTCTGTATTTGGTGTTCAGCATCTCAGTTACAAAATCAGCCCGCTAATCTTTCCTTTTTTTCTGTTTATACAGCCTTATGTGTGCACTTGTTTTTAACGTGCAACGAAGGCGTGTCAAGAAGATCATACTCGTTTTTTTACGTGCAAAGCAGGATACTGTCCAAACTGTACCATTATACAATCGTCGTCTGTTCGAAAAATATTTTTTCACGTGCAAGGCAGGATAGTCCACAAATGGCTCCTTGACGAAATCGAATCAACATATATTTCCCAATGCCTCTAATACGTGAAAATCTCCGAGAGACTCACATACCAATGCGTGTCAAGAAACGTCATACAAAGACCACTGACAATATAGATGACTGTTTTGATATCAGAATTGAAGTCAGTTGCTACATAATTATAGGCCCATCCACCTTTTTTGGTTGACATTTCTGGTCTTATCAACCCCGAAATCGTTTTTACTACCACCAAGAGATGAGCAACATAGCAATGTTAGATCTAATGACTTCACATGACAAATGTGGCAAGCACAATACGAGCGCTGCTCCAATGACCACAAACTCGGAAGAGGAATGCCTGACCCCTTCTGCCATCACGACCACCTGACGAGAGTCACAGATAATTAAGTGCACTAACAGCTTGCCGGACCGATAAGTCAGGTTTGACCAGGAACATAGCACATTAGGAACCCCGTGTAGAATATAAATTATATGCTGCTGACAAGCAGGATATTTAAAAAATGGAAATCGTCGAAAGCGTGCTCACAGTGGGACCGAGATTCACGGCGACTAAAAATATTCCAGTGAGTTCGCTTCGACTGTAAATAACTGTCTTCCAATTATTGGGGACTCGAATTGTTGTACGCGATGTAAACATTGTAGAGAGCTCCGGTTAAACATTGTATCGTTGGAGTCGAATAGGAAGCTCGTCAAAGACCTCATCGCACTAGCTCTAAAGTAGGATAAATTTAGACCATTGTATCAAAACAGCCATCCAGTAGTACATGTTCCGAGCACAACCAAGCAAAGTAAAAAACTTGCGGTTTTAGGAAAGTCTTACACGGGTTTTAAAAAAAGTGCCAGGAGAAAAGGGAGATGACCAGATGAACAAACAGCCTTGTCAAGTTCGGAAGTAAGCGACACTGAAATTTTTAACCAAGTTTGGTGGTGAGTATAATAGTGAACACGCATCAGTGATGGCCACTCAGCCGGAGAAAAGTGACAAGGCAACTGCCAAGATTTTAAATATCCCACCTCCTCCACAGAAGGAGGGGGAAAATTTCGAGTGGGGAAAACTAAAGAATGCACTGAAACTTCGGAGGAAACGAATAAGGCAGGAGATTTAATCGCCACAAAAGAGTGGCATACAGAAGATTACAAAGTCATGGAAGGAAGGAAGCTGTGGAGAAGTAAGCAAATGATAAAGAGACTCAGGAAACTTCGATACTGTCGAAAGAAGATAATAAACAAAAGTGGGCTCAGGATTGAGAGGGAACGAGCAAATTCGGCTTGCTTCGACATACTCGAGAAAAAGGAGTCGCTGAGGCAAAAAAGCGGAGATTGATATTAAGCACTAGTGTCTAAGTAGATACTGTCCTGGGAGATGTGGAAAACCGCTCTGTTGATGCAACATATACCGATGAAGGAAAAGAAAATTGGTAGAAACAGTCACAGGATCCGCGACGGATTTCGAAACGTCAGGCGAATAAAGGTCTTGTCCCATCGGTCACATCTTTTTCTTCTCAATTATTTCCCGGAATTCGCATGTTCGCTTAACTTAATAAGATATATCGATGTTATCTTCAGCGTCACTGCACCCTTACGTCAAGAAAAGGACCCTAAAGTTGATGGCAGACAGAACAGCCATATGAAAGTTGCGACGGAACCTCCTCTGCTTCCACCATAAAATCAAAAGAAAGGCCACTCCGATAACGGTGCTGTTAACGTGGGTACCTCGGGAGGCAAATGCAGACACACATAAGGAAAGTGTTATAGTCGACTTTGACTTGATCCAAGGTCTTGCGAACTTCATATTCTAATTTAAACTACTTTCAGTATTCAAAGCCTCCAGGTCCTAAAAGTGGATGTATCATTAGAGGAAAACGGACTCATTATCATAATGCATACACTGTCTGTCTGAGAATTTTACCAGCAGAAATATCTTGCCAGGTTAGCTATTTCATTTTCACCATGACCGAACTGAACTACCTTTTAACAACAGAACACATTATAAAGCGTCATTGACTATGCGCGTGTAATTTGCGTTCGCTTCTTAGCCTTTCGCATACGATGCAAACGCACTTCAGTTATTAATTTTTTGTCCATCTATCTTCGTATAGAGAGGCTACGATAACCAAAGATTCCTGGTTTTTCGTAGCACTATTTTAGCTTTCTAAAGTTGCATCTCCCTTGTCAGTTATTTCAATACTGGAATCGTGATCAGGACGAAGTTATACGTGCAAATTCAGGCTACT